AGTCGAATACGTAGACTTCTACAGGGCCTTCTAAGTAATGCGCGCCGGGTATAATTCAAACCTCTGCCCCCATCGGTACCATTACCCCTAAAGCAAATCGTCTCCAGGAGACGAAATTCGATTCGATTCGAATTTCGAATCGAATCGAATCTTCCAGCCAGAGGGCAATGAAGAGCAAGTGGAGAGCACACCGAAGCCAACAAACCAAACCATGGAAGGACAAGGGGTGACAAACTACTCTGTGGACAAGCCAACCTATGCCTTCAGTAGCAGCACCACCGAATTTGATGATGCCCTGATTCGAAGAGGAGTGGTGACGTTAGAGCAGGCAATTGGAGGCAAGGGAGCATCGGAATCCGAAGCGCAGCGATTGGCAGCATTAGCCAGGAGCAGCAAGGAAAATCCAGACAAGAGTACTACTGTCAATAATAGTGACGTTGATTCGGATGACGAATTTCTGGACGACGATGATTTTATGGCCCAATATCGAGCCAAGCGGTTGGCAGAATTAAAACAGGGGGAACAGCATGCTACCCAATCTTCCAAAAAGTCTACAACCTTTGGGCAAGTGGTCCCCATCCAACGCCCAGAATGGTCTCGGCAAGTCAATGATGCGTCTCACAATGCATGGGTCGTGGTGACACTGACATCGTCCAGCCATTCGGAAATCACAGCCCCCATAGAATCCACCATTGATTCACTGGCCACACAATGTCCTTCTGTGAAGTTTGTTACCATTCCGTCGACCAGCGCCATCGCCAACTGGCCCGACTCCAATCTACCATCCATCTTTATTTATAGAGACGGAAAAATGGCACAAGAACTGGTCCAAATGAAACAGATATGGACCCCATTGAAACTCGTGGAAGAATTGGCATCTGCAGGAGGGGTAGAGTTTCCAGCAGAAGAAATTGAAAATGTCAAGGAGTACAATGCCAAACTGAACCAAGATCGACAATACACGTTACGGAGGCAACTGCAGATGGAGGATTACGAAGAAGAAGATGACGATCTGGTCATGTGATCAAGAGGAGAGACGTCATCAGAGAGACATCACAAAAAATGCAATCATCCATTGCTGCCGTGACAAACTGCTACCGTATCCACTTCCCTATGATCCAAGGACAAGTATCGGCCACGAGAAACGACTGAGTCTGGCTGCTGCATATTCCCCTTGTCGCACATGCAAACTACTCTACTCTACGGTTGGGCAAGGGAAACTCACAAGAACCACAGTAATATTGTAATATGCAGGAAACACCGGGTACCGTGGACTGGTGTTTGGCAATGAATAATAAGCACTGCCTTGCTACGGTACGCTTGATCTAGATGGCTAGTTTTGTTATAGGTGATAGTGGTTGAGGACCGGAATAGCAATAAAAATGTATTGCTACTACCATAGTACAACTTGAAGACAAAACCTCACTATGCCTCTTTCACAGCGATAAAGGTAACCCCGTCATTTTCGTCGCCATAAGGCCGACCATTCTCCATACCATCGGTGGCTTCCTCCTCGTCCCCATTGTTGTTGGTTGGTTGCACGGGAGTATAAGATGGCTCCTCTTCTTCTTCCTCTGGCAGAGGCGGCAGTGGATCACAACACGGACACATGTCCCCATAGAAGAGTCGCATCGCCAAGAATCGATTGCCTTCGTCATTGGCTTTTCTCATGGCGGCCGTTCGTTGATTTTTGCGGGCGGTTTCTTTCTTGCGTTTCTCGCGATTTCGTCCGGCCTCCCGTACAATATACTTGTACGTAGTCAATCCCTCCTTGTGGAGTACCCAATGAAAGTAGAGCAATTGTAGTACCAACGATAATGCCAAGGCATCAAATGCCACAAATCCAATGTAAATACCGATAATGGCTCCATCGGCATTGGCGTTGAACCAGGCATTGGCACGGTCTTTGGAGGCACCTCCCAGTAAAATGTCAATAGTGAGAGCAACCTGTACGGAGGAATGAACCATCAACATGGCCGTGATAAAGACCATGGTCATGACAAAATAATGGTAATTGGCGCTTCCCACGCACGTGTTGAGCCCTGTTTGCAATTCAATAATCAAGTAGATGGTTGTGTGGATTGGCGCGTGATTTGGCACAGATTGGAGTGGTGATTGGAGAAGGCAAACAAGCAAACTGTGAGAGATACGGTCCCAGGGTCGAGCTAGTTCGTTTGTTTGTGTGCGTACTTACATAGACAATGATGATCAAAGTTTGCGACACACTTGTTACAGTATTTGCAATGCATGGCATGCTCGGCTACCTGTGTGTCACAAATCCAGCAATGTTTCATATCTTCTTCCGGTTCCCCTTCGGCTATTGCTGGTGGACCATGTTCTAACTTGTGTAAATGCCGTGCCAGATGCGCGTCCATGGGATCAATCACTTGTGCCATGGCGGCATAAAACGCCGCCAATATGGCCGTAATCCCAAAGACAATGGTACAAGGAATGGCCGCCTCCAAGGGTAATACCGGTGCCACCACGATAAAGAATTCAAATATCAGCACGGGAAGAGTGATCCATGTCGAGACTTGCGGTCCTGTGTACGGCGTACTAAAGCCATTCTTCCGTCTCGGTGTGTCATTGTTATTATTTGTAGTTGGCATTGTGAAGAGTACCGTTGTTTGTAGTAGTCAGAATCTTGGGTATAATAGTTGTATGGTAGATCCTGAAACCAAGGACCGCCTACAAACAGACTTCGCGAATAGCTAGCTAGCTAGTAGCTCCTGTTGTATGTATGGTGTGATGAGTGTGCTGCTTCGTGGATCAGACGAACACGACAAGCTCAGGCAATTTGGTTGTCACAGTTCTGTTGCTCTGTTGTTCGAATGGCTTCGAAACTCTTCCGGAGCAAAGTCAACGCACCGACTAACAATTTTCCAGCAACCTCCGAAGTGCTGTGGTGACCCGGTGTTGTCGTCGTGTTGTGGAAATGGATATCTAGCTATGCAATAGTCTACCGTAGTTGTAGGAAGGAGACTTACTTGCCCGTGGAACCCTCAAAAGGATTGAAGATTCGATTCCGCCATAACAAAAGTGATGGCAATGCCATGGAAGCTTCTTGTTGTCGCTTTTGCTGTGGCTTGGAAGTGGAAATACAGTCTGCAGAGCTAGCTGACACCATTTTTAAAGTCGTACTTTTATCCTTTGGCAAGTTTGCTTGTCAATTTTCACAAAACCGGTGCCAATACGGACCATTCCCTCCTCGCCCAGACGCATGAGGGCATGGAAGAGCCAATCCAGTACTAGTACCGTAGTACTACTAGTACGGGTACATAGGAGGCTTGTGCACAGGGGTAGCTTGCCCTGGTAGCTACCGGTACAGGCCAGTGTTTATTGGTTGAGAGAGTGTTTTGCCCGTAGCGTACGCACGGAAAGTGTCGGACCTCCAACAAGCAAGCTACCGTACCGTACGATCCTCTGCTTCACAATGTACAGCTTTCTTGCTGATGCTTGAGGCTTGCTTACAATAGCTCTTACAATCTTGGTGAAGAATCTATCCCAATGTCCACAGCTACAGCTGTAGCTGCAAGTGCCGACAGCGGCTAACCAGCGGCAACGTCAAGCCAAAAAAGCTGCATGAAATGTCAAATCGAGGGGGATGGAGAAAATAAAAGTCCTACCACGGTTTGTTTCGTACGGTACGGTACGGTACTGCTACTGCCAAACCTGTCATGGCTACATGTACCGGATCTCCCCACCCCCAAGAAACCACGGGAGTCGAGGGGACCACATGGGAACTCCACAGCCAAGGCAACTGCAAGTCCTTCTTCGAGTTGCGGGGGCATCATCACCTGGCCGCTTTTACCACTACCGGTAGCTATTTTAATAGCTAGCTAGTATGATATCTTCCCACAAAACAAAATCAAAACACACAAAATCGTCTCAAACTAACCAAAAGCAAATACAAATTACCAACCAACATATCTATCATGATGTACAAGCGTGTCCCAGTTCAAATTGCGGTAGTTGCCTTCCCCAACTCAAACACTGCGGCCTCTGCTGCCGGCAATCTAGCCACGACTTTGGCGCTCAAAGGCGTTACATGTGCCAATCTTGTGATTGTCAAAAAGGATGAGGACTCCAAGGTTACGATCAAGGAATATGGAAAAGATGGTCCATTCAATGGCTTTATTGTGGGAGGCACCAGTGGAACATTTGTGGGAGCTGCTGTCGGTGGCATTGCCCTATCACTGCTTGGACCCATCGGCATGGCGGCGGGTGGCAGTGTAGGAGCTATTGCGGGAGGTGCCATCGGAGCTTTAAATGGTACCATCACTGGCACTGCCAAAGCTGTCATGGTGGAGAGTGTGGACAAGGAAAAGATACAGTTATTGGGGTCATGCCTCACACCCAATTCCTCGGCTTTAGTAGCTGTCTTTGAAGAAGTAGTCATGACAAAGTCGGAATTGAAGAAGAAACATTCTGACAAACTCAAGGAAGTGGATGAAGTTACAAAGCTGGCAGCAGAAACCATCAGTTCTGCATTGAAGCAAGACCAGTTTGTTGGAGTTGGTCTTGATGTGGATGATGAGGGCATTCTGCTGAGTCGGACTATTGTCAGTGATGATAAGATCAACATTGGTACTTTCATGCTGACGCCGGAACTTGAAGAGTGCTTGGTTTCTACAGTATCAATAAACAAAGATGGCGAAGCTTCAGAGAAAGACTTGGTGACTGATGAGGGTGGTGTCTTTCTAGGTGGTGTTCTAGTTCAAGAAGATGCACTTCTCTATGAGGTTGGAGCTGTTGATCCAGATTCTGAAAAGGTTAGCATTCGAAAAACTCCAGAAATTGGTGGTGGTGCTGCTGCTGCCAAGCCTGTGTCTCCAGAACCACGTGATGGTGCCCAGAAGGGCGCCCATGAAGTCTCGTGCTAGCAGGACCTGGCACTGGCACTGGTAGTCTACCGGTATCCGACAAATGAATGGCTTGCTTCCAAAGATGGAAAGGATATTTTGGATCCATTGTATGATATTTCGTGGCCCTGCCAGATGGGGCACTGTTCTGGGCACTCCATTTTTATTAATAAGTAAATGTAACCAATGTAGATAAGAAAGTCAGGCTTAGACTGGAAAACAACGCGCAACGTGCAACGAGGTAGCTAGCTATTAGCCCGTATTGCAATAGAAACTCGCTTGATTTTGAAGGCCCTGCTCTCATCCTGCCTTCTGGACTTGCAACAGGTCAATTTGCCTGGAGACCTTCGCTGTGGGAGAAGGTGCCCTTCGTACCTTCTGGACTTGCAACAGGTCAATTTGCCTGGAGACCTTCGCTGTGGGAGAAGGTGCACTTCGCACCGGGTAGACCGTCCGTGCTTGGGGTCAGGTTGAAGTTGTGGCTTTTCAGCGGAGCTGGCTTTCTCTGTCAACGTCCGGCCAAATCATTCACAAAATGGGTGGCCATGGCGAGCCACAACAATGGCTGCCGATGCCACGGCACATGATGTCGTTGCCCTGTTTCTAGATTGGCTTTGATGAGATGACTGGCCATGAGTGTCGATAGGCGAACGCTTCGGGGATCCAGAAATCCTAGCTAGAGTCAAAGAGCATTACATCGCACTTACAAGTGTGTCCCCGCGGCTCCAATTGTTGGACGTTGCAGAAGGTGTGTGGATTACCTACTCTTGTCGCATGCTGCATTACCCCTGCGGTACCACTATATTTTACTATATGATATCAAAGCTCCATGATGATTGTCAAATCATTTAAATTGTTCTTTCTGACTGATCGCTGAGGACCAACACTACAATGGGAATCTCTCTGAGAGCTACCGGTATCATACCGCCGTATTGAAAGATCCATTTGTTGCCTTGCAGATTTTCCGCCTAACTATCATCTTTTTCCGTCCTATTGTAATCAGGGGATCACCGATGACAGCCAAAACAAGGGAAGGCTCCCTGACGGTGGCATCGGAGCCAACTGGATCCTCCCCAACTGTTTCTGCGGCAGGCTCCATTCTTGCGCGGAAGAGCTGCTACCATAGCTCTCAAGGTCAACTACATGTACTACATTGTTGGAGTCCTTGAATTCTACTTTTTGGTTTGAAGGATTACTAGTAATATTGGCTAGCAAAGTACAAGTGCCACTGTTGCGATCAGGATGGAGACACCGGTGGCCAAGCTCATACTCGCGCTTCCCGACGAATTTGGGTTGGATTCTGGAGCCTCAACGCTTTCTTCAACTGCCGACTTCCCTTGTGGTGGGGGTCCTCTTTGGCTGACTTTGTCACGACCTTCTTTTCAACCGCGACAATGGGAGTATCACCACCATCAAGGATACCAATTCCATTGGAGAAGAACTGGTATGTCGTCCGGTAGAGAGACAAGAGATCCCGATTCCTGCCAAAGCTGGTTTGTGTCAAGAACTGTGGGATGTACTTGTCCGGTTGCATCTTGATGTACTGGAGGGGAAGAGCGCCGGGGTCCATAAAATTATCATAGTAATTTTGAACACTCAGCCGAGGCAAGGTCTGTGCAAAGTAAGAAGGGCGATACGTCCGACGATCCAAAGAATCAATCACACCGACGAGGTCTACGAACGTGTCGTCCGAGACCACCGGTAGCAGCATGGGGATCATGGAGAGGGAGAACGTTGTGTAAAAGGCATTGTCCAGACGAATGTTCTCCACGGCTGCTGGAATGGAAGCAATCGCCATGTCGGATTGGTCTCCCGTTCCTCCATAGCCGACTGTCACCACGCTGGATGTTGCCCCGCTTTGCTCGCGGTTCTTCCAAATCTGTTCCACCGACGAGGCGAAAATGCTGGACGCTGACGCGGCGTTGCCATCCGACACGATGATATATTCATCGAAACTATGTTGCGCCTGGAGAGCCTTGAGGGCCGCCTCATTGTAATCATTGTACGTGAGCAAGGAAGATCTCTGAGTGACGTTGTACGCGACGCCCCCGCGAACCACCGGCTCTGGTGTGGAGTCGAGACCGTAATATTGTCGAATGGTACCCGCAAGTGTCGTGGTCCAAGCCGAGAGCTCACGAGCCACGGTGAAAACAGAGTTCCAAACGTCCATGAACGCCGGAGGGGTTGGGTATTTCAGAAAGTTCTGCACTTCTCTGGCAAGTTGCTCGAGTTGTCGGCAAGAGAACTCGCAGTACTGTCCAACACAGAAGGCATCGTTGTTGAGTTCACAAAAGTTCTCGAGCGATTTGGCTGTGGTGGCCAAGGATGTCAGTTGGTCTTCGGAGAGGTCATTGATAACCTTGGATACTTGCTCGTCACTCCAGGATTCTGTCATGTTCTCAAATTGATTGATCAGGGGCATAACCACCGTCACATAGTCTTGCATGGGTTCATTGAGCGTCTGATCCAAGTTGTTGACAAACCAGCTGTACTCTACATTGGGGAACATGGACACTGCCAAGCTCGCAGCATTGACACCATATCCTCCACCGTTGCCACTAATGTCAATCATCAACTTGGTGATCCCATTCTCTTTGGCGGCTGCAGTCAAGTTGGACCAGACTTCCGCCCGAAAAACCATTGGATCCATCAACCAGGTCCCAATCTTGAGGATGGCATAATCCTTCTCAATCTTGTACCCAGCCATGTGTTCCTGAATTGTTTGCGGGGCACCATCCACAATTTCGGTGCGGTTGTTGTACCAAGTGTGGTCAAAGTCAATCGAATTTTTGTCATTGTCCGCGACACTTTTTGCCTTGACCAGCGAAGTGCCCGATTTCACGGATTTGAGAGTTGGAGCGCCATCCATTGACGACTTTTTGGATATCTCCACTGCGTCCGAGGCTGGGTCAATGGCCCGATTAATGGAATCCACAATTTGCCCTCTTGCCTGAGAGTAGTATTGGTACGCTTGACCTGGACTATTGATAACATTCTCCACCAAGGATCGGTTCTTCAGCTCGTATACATCCGAGTTTTCCTCGTTCACTCCCATCAAGGAAGCCATTCCGGGGCTGAAGACACCCGTCCGGAAGGTTTCTTCTGTGCCATCCGTATATGTGACCTCAAAGGTATCCGACAGTGCTTCGGTGGGTCGTGTATTGAACATGAGCGGAAAGAGGTAGTGCTGAAACCCTGCATTGCTCGCAGACTTGACAAGGCTGTTGACGCGGGCCCCGAGATTTTGCCAGTTGAATTGTACGGAGCGAGAATTGGCAAGGGTCTTGACAAAGTCAGCTACGGTGGTTCCGTTGATTGTTGCCACGACGGATTCTGTTTCAGTTTCCGTGGCAGTGTCCATCCAGATGATCTTGAGTGCCATTTCACCGTTTTCCTTGAGAGAGAACTCTGGCTTGGACAAGATGGTGCCGTTCAAGTTTCGTGTTGGAAAGACTCTGAGGAACCAAGTCACAAAGGCTTCGCCAGAAACAGGAGGGACTGATACATGCCCATCCCTCAAATCTTGAAAGATGGCGTTCATGGTCCAAAAGGTAGTAATGTTGGCAGCCTTGTTGGTTTGAATGTCAAGGATCAGGTCACTCATTCGCTTGGCAATATCAACTTGGCCCTGGCCCTCTCCTTCATAAATGGTGTAGCCGAGCTCCGGCTGGTACGACATGGGCGTGCTGTTCTTTGGATCTTTAGCCAGATTATAGAAGCAGCTGATTGATATAGAAGCAAGGGAAGGGGTGTTAGCAGATTTTTTTGCCAGTGGCAGCCAACCAAATGGAATATACAGTTTGGAACTTACTGGAACTGTGAAAAGATCCCGTCAAGGTTGTAAATGTGATCAATGGTGTTGTTCACATCCAGGGGAAGTGTTTCCATGCACTTTTCCAAGAAGGACGGAGAGATGTAGAGGAAAGGTTCATTAATCAAGGCTGCCAAGCCACCATTGTCAAAGGTTGCTTGACACGAAGCCTCTGGTGTTTGTTTGACGCTGTAGTTGTTGTCGGACTGCAGCAGACTGCGGCTGCCAGTACCAGTAGTGGTATGACTCTGTGCTAGTGATCCTCTCAAGGCCAGCGTCGTTGCCATGAATGGCAAGGCCACCAGCATAGCACTAAGTACGTGATGATGTGTGCATCTCATGGTTGCTTGGAAAAAGTAGCTTCCGTTTTGGTTTTGTGAGCGAGCAAATGTATATAGGAGTGAGTGAATAAATGCTGAGCAGTTCTGGCACTGTAGATAGAAACTTGTTCTTGTTGGGTTGCTGGTTGGGTTTCAGCTGTGGGAGTTGAGTTGTGAAGCTCTTTGGAATTGTGAGACGAAACTAGCTAGCAGGCTACCGTTGCTTTAGTTTGCTTTGCGTTGGTCGTGCCACTTTGCCGTCGTGCCGTTTCCTCGAAGTCACCACGATCTTTCGCACCCGTTAAATTACCTGGCATAGTCCCGGTTGACTAATGACTTGGTCAAAGATACCCATCCGTGACGCCTTGCACCGACCATGCACGACAGCCGATCATGCCAATGGCTGAGCTCGGGCGACACGAACCGGTACAACAACGACAGCAGAGATAGGACTTGATAGAACCGTCTTCACCCATCTATCATGATGACTTCCTTTGCCAGAAAGTGGGTTTTACTTGGTGGCATATGGCTCCTCGTTCTTCTGTTGTGCCCTCAAATCTCTCATGGGTTCACCACTGGCCTCCAAAGCTTCAGGGTGCAGAAGTCACTGTCACGAGAAGTAGGGGACGGCCGATGGGTGCTTCTGAACAACAGTGCCAATGATGGCGATGATGATGACACTTCAACCGAGTCATCGCGAAGAACGTTTCTGTTTCAACAACAAGGAATCATGACAACAGCAATGGTAGCCGCCGGCCTAGTAGGAGCGCCATCCGTGGCAAACGCCGATCCCTCTCTGATTTCATCTCTTCAAGGACCCTTGCAGGATGCCATTGCTCCTGGACACTGGATTGGCCAATTTTTGGGCATCAACTCTCGCCAAGTCACCTGGGAATTCAGTAACGCATCTCCAGCCCTTGTCAGTCAAGCCTTGGTGGATGTTTTGAACGAGTTGTCACCGCAAGATCGAGCCAAGCTGTTCCTCCCAGAGTTTTCCATTTCCAGAGCGGATTCCAGCAAGGTTCATGTCATTACGTGGACCAAAAATGAATGGTTGGATTCTCTGGATGTTTCCTTCTTGCAGCAACAATCTACTACTACCAGTTGCATTGCCAAGGCCAGCTTTTATGCCACGGGATTCCTGCCCACGTCGATTCCGGGAGCTCCTCTCTTTAATATTGGGTTTGCGTGGTTTCCCTTTGCGTCTCCTGGTCCCAGAGGACAAATGCTACAAGACTATCGACTCAAGAATCTGGAAAGATTAGTCAGACAGAAACTAGCTAGCTAGTACAGCCTGAGGGAGAACAGTTTCAATAGAAGGGTGGTTTACATACATCATGTTAGCAACCAGCTAGATACCTCCCGCACGGCGTGGTCACTCAGCTTGAGACTCGGATTGTCAATTCCTTCACTGGCGAGATGGTCTTGAGCATATCGAATAATGCGGAGGTGGTGCTCTGTTGAGCCCTCCCTTGTATTGAGAAAGCCATGGCAAATGCATTGTGATAGATCCGAATCCGACGGAAACTCTAACTTGAGTCTCACGACCAAAGAGGGGCTTCCGGTAGAGGGGGGATAGCTACGTAGTTACGGTTGATGATTCCTTGCGCATAGTTCGCTTCTACCCTCTATGTGAAAGTCGCTGCCTGCGCCGTGTACGATGGGATCCTGAGGATGGCTTTGCATGATTCAGCAAGACTGGGGCCCCAAGGCAGACCCGTACCTTGTCACCTCGCTAACCGCTGGTGTTGGGTAGCAAGAGCGAGGTTGCACATGGTCATGTCTTTGAGGTTTTCAGAGAGTGGCGGTCCTCCTGATTTCAGTGGCGACGATGAAGGCCATAGCGACTAACAGATCCCTATGAAAACAGGGCAGCCGTTGCGCTGTCGCATCAAAGATCTGACCATAAGGTCAAGGTGGCCTAGGAAGACAGGTTAGCTCATATGGGCTGCTGCAACTGGTTAGTGTGAATGGATCGGCCCTGAGATTGCGGTGCCTCAAGCAACAGCTCTTGAAGGTTTGATAGCACAAGTTGGAGAACAAGGAGAAACGTAAATGTTTAGCACAATTGTGAAGGCTGGTTGGTAGTGATATCCTAAGTGGATGGGGCCTCACGTCGTTATAAAGTAAAAGAAACAACAGGAAAGCTACTGCAGTAGTATTGGTGTTTTCTACTCTCGCAGATGTTGGATAACTTGAGTGAGGCGGTCGGCGGCTTAGGCGATATCTTCCTGCTTCGTAAAGCGACCCTCTCCAACTCTCAGGGTACAACCAATCATTTCTGGTCCAATGCCCAGTGCGTGGACAACATGAGAAGGTCCAGTGGAGACAGAGTTGCAGGCAGATCCAGAGGATATGGAAACATCGTTTAGTTCCAGCAGTACTAGTACTTGTTCGGAAGTGACACCACCTAGGCTCACGTGCAGATTGCCACTCAAACGATGCTCCAGGGAACCATTCACTGGATGATTCGGAATACCCACGGATATCTTTTTCAATAAGTAGTCGCGAAGACTTTGGATCAGATAGATGCACTCGTTCTCTTCGTTGCGGGTCGTGACCGCTATCTCACAACATTCGCCCAGTCCTACAATCCCGGGAACATTGAGTGTTCCACTCCACTTACCAAATTCATGACCTCCACCATCGTGCATCAATTTGAGATTCCATGTCCAATTTGGATCGAACGTACAATACACCTACCCTTGGGTCCATAGATTTTGTGTGCCGAAATGGACATCAAATCAATCTGGTCCTCCACGACATTCAACTCGAGCTTGCCAACTCCTTGCGTTCCATCGGTACCGGTATAGAAGACAACGCAGCGGCTACGGCAGAGAGCCCCAATCTCTTAAAAAGGCTGAATGGCGCCAATCTCATTGTTGGCCAACATGATGGAGACTAGTATAGTTAGTTGTCGTCTTGATGGCACGAATCAAGTCGTCAAGTGAAATCAAACCATCGGATTGGACCTCTAGATAGGTATCTTCGAATCCTTGCCGCTCCAGCGCGTGGCAGGGACCCGTCCAACACGGCTTTGTGCTCTGTAACGCAGGTAATGATATGATTCTTCCCTTTGTTGTTCGAGCTTTGTAGTTTGTGTGCAAGCCCTTTAATGGCCAAGTTGCTTGTTGCTTTCCGAAACACCCGACATGAAGACAATCTCATTGACAGAAGAAGCTCCAATCGCTGCTGCTCCTTGCTGTCGTGCCTTGTAAACAGCCCGTTTAGCATCTGTACCATACCCAAGTGTCAAGCTAGCTGCATTGCCAAACTTATTGGTCAGATATGGATGGCATCATGCAATCAAATCCTCGTGGATCCAAAGGCGTGGTGGCGTTGTAGCCCAGATAGACTGGTTTTGGAATTGCATAAGCAGGACTGGAATAATTGAAAATAGCCTTTGATGACAAAGAAGAACTAATGTCGCTGGTGGGTGCGACGTCGGGGTTCCCTTTGGCAAGCCAGTCTCCACTGGTTTCTGGAGCAGATTTCATTCTTCCATAGTCGAATACATGTTTGTTTGTATCCAGCCTGGATCAGCCTGTTGGCAGGTACGACACTGTACTTGCCAAAGTGGCATGTCAGGACAATCGATCGATGCTTGGGCAAACGCTGGAATTCATCTCGAAATTTGTTGAAGGAGCGAAAGGTGAACTGCCCCAGACCCCAGGAATGTGTCCAAGTGGTTTTCGGGACGAGTATCCACGACCAATGGTGGGCGGGAGGAGTTCAGCTGTTTGACGAGTTCTTCCGTCGTTGATGCTTCTTGGTTGGTTTCTGGACAATGTCTACAATGCAGTCCCAAAGGACAACATAGATTTCGGCCAAAGACACATCATACTTGACCTGCAAGGCAAATGCGAGCAACCCAGCCACAACGATTCCAACTGCCACTTTGGCGCCTCCCAAAGCCAGGCTGGACCAATCCACACCTTTGACGTACTAGTTTTAGGTGGGTTATGAGCTGCCGAAAATTTACATCTTTTCTGTTTCTCAGAAAACCAGTCGACCATGGCGCTCCTGACGGCGTTTTGGAGGGAAACCTGCACAGGAAAAGAAAGATCGCCAGCTTGTAATAGTTAGTAGTGATGGTATACATGCATGCACAACAGACGCATTGGGTGTATCACCTGTAGAAAAGAATAAAATCGACATTCTGTTATCCTGCTTGTATTCTCGAATTCGCATCTCGTTCCAACCAGCACTGTAAAGTTGCCGATAGCTTCGTTTTGGCTGCATCTGGGTGGCTCAACACCGGCGCCATCCATCCTCCACCATGTCGGATGAAACAAACAATATGGGAGAGTTAGTGGAGCAGGCCTCTGGAATTGTCGCCATAGCCAAAGGCAAGGTCAAGATAGTTGACGCGATGAGAATTGTTGGCTTCCAGACACCTGAGCGAAAGAACATGAAATGGTACCAACAAGTGAGAAGGAAGGCAAAGAAACTTGTCTCAACACAGGTTGCCGCTGTACCTGCCGAGGTGGTTGCTAGTGTCAATGCCTCCACTTCTGTTGCCAGTCAAAGCACATTGACTCGCAGCACTCCTGCATCTCAGAATTCTTCCACAAGCAACTCCACTCTTACCACCAATCCGTCGCCTTCAGATGCAGTGGTGGACAGCCCAACTGTGTTGGTGGTAGATGAAATGGACAGTGCACTTGCTTCCGTGTATGCAGAAGAAGATAGCACAAAGCCAAAGAAAAAAGATAGGAGATCAAGCAAACAACTCCAAAAAGCTTGGGCCAAAAAGGCACAACTCACCAAGAGAGATAAAGATGCTATGAAGATTATCACCACTCAGATTGCCAAACAAAAGAAGAAACCTGTTGCCAACAGGAAGAGCATTCGAAAGATAGTTGATGAGAACAATGAGCGATTCAACTCGAACGTTGATCCCAAAACTGCAGCTCGATACGTACGGAATGGTCTTGTGGGAACTTCCCCAATGAAGAGAGGACCGAATAGTCAGTTCCCAAAACGAATCTGGAAGGCGCTGTGTGGTGCCGTGGTGACCTTCTTGAAGCTTGAACAAGCTGGTGGGGCAAAGCAATCAACTATTGCAGCCCTTTCCAGAAGAGTTAATGCCTGTGTGAATAAAGGCGGGTACAAGAAGACACGCACAGATCTCACCTTGAAGATAAAGAAAGAACATGCTGATCAGTTTCCAACGTCTGGCAAAGCAAACATCCAGGAACAGCGCCGTGCACTCTGGACAACTCACTACTTTCTTGACAGTTGGTTCGATACATGGAAGACGAGTGTCATTGAACTGGGATTTGGACGAGAGAGAACACCCCAAGATCCACAGTTCGATGCCAATGGACGTTTCCTGGGCGAGATTGTCTTTTACAAAGGGCAACTTGACCGGATTATCAACTTTGATGAGACAGATGGCTCTCTTGATGACACCACCGGTTACAGAGGTGGACGTCCACCCATGACCTTCTATGCCCCAGACATTTCTGGTGGCGGAACAAGAGTGAACAAGAGTGGCTATTCTTGTACAATCATTTGTGGAAGCACTGCCGCAGGGGATCCAATTCCTCCTCACTTCCAACTGAAGACGTTGGCCACTGCTGCTGAAAGAGAGCGAATCAGCATAGACTGGTTTGAGAACACGAAAGATACAGTTGGTTCTTGGGGTTTTCAGGAGAAGACCAAACGTCCGTGCAGTTTTGGAATGAATGAACGTGCCGGTATGAATGCTGCTGAGCTCGACAAGTACATGAAGAACTCTTTACTCACCTTATATCCTGACATTGAAGACATTCCAGGAAAGCGAGTTCTAGTGAAAGTCGACAGTGGACCTGGAAGAAGCAACGTGGAGATGTTAGCCGATCTGAGACTGCAAGGATTGTACTTGATCCCAGGAGTGCCGAACACAACAGGAGCGACACAAGAAACAGATCAAAACTATGGCCCCTTCAAGACTGGATACAAAGACAACTTGCGAGTTCTGTCCCAAGCAAGGTTTGACTTGAACAAGAACCTTCAAGTTAGTGACTTGCCTTTGTTGGTCTTTGGTGGAAAGGATGCGGTCACTGATACTGTTCTCCGCGATGCCTTCTCTGATGCCTTCTCCATCAAAAGCAATCTGTCTGCGTGGGCAAAGGTTGGTGCTGCTCCATTGACAAGGAATGCTTTGCATAATCAAAACGTCCGACACGAAGTCCCAGATGAAAGAGCTAGATCTGTACTAGCGGCAAGCGGCGCACCAGATGATCCCGCTGGAAATATCGGCAGGTTGATGAATCAAGAAGCCATGAACAAATTCTTTTGTGACTTTCTCAATTCCAGTGGAATGGATGGATCACAGTTGTTGATTGCGGCTCCCAAGAGAAGTACCTTCGTTGGAGTCACTGAGGCTCATTCGCAAGCCAGGATTGATGGGATCAAGAATGCCAAAACAACTGGACAGATGCACTATGTGACAGGTGGTCGACACATGAACACAGATGAATTCTTCCAAGCAACCAAATTAAAAGAACGCGATGACAAAGTGAAGGCTCTTGCTGATTCCAAAAAGGCTAAGACCTCTGCATACGACGCAGAGGTGGCGGCCAAAGCACTGCTGCAGGAGAAAGGAGTCTTGGACATTGAGACTTCCAAATCATTCACTGTTTCTCAGATCAAGGTCTTGTTGAAATATCGAACCTGTCCAAAGCCAGCCTCACAGCGAAAGGTGGACCTTGTTATTGCTTCTTTGGCGGGCGAGGATCCACCAGCGGCCGTCGCGTGGTCGGAGGAAGAGGAGGCTCAGTTGCAAGAGGCCAAGAGCATCCATGTTGCAATGAAAGATACTGCTTTGGGTGTCGCGACGTCTCAAATGGCCAAAGCTGTCACCAACAACATGACCAATTTGGATCCACAAACAAGGGCTTTGCTCAAAGCGGCCATTCAGGCCTCGGAGTATGGGGAGCCTACCACTGCTCCTGAGGTTGCGGCGGCTGTAGA